GGAGCTCTGTGCAAGGCCTGGGTTGCCTGGGCTTACACATCATCGAGTTGCATACTATTTTTGCTCTCTCAAAAAGCGAAAGAGGAAATAAAAAATAGGAGCAGAGATGGCAGAGAAAGAAGGGAACTGAGAGACAGGAAGATACTTGAAGACCACAGAGGGCGAGTTTGTATATGGATATATATATGTGCCGAAAAAGATGCTACGGTATTATCGTGGCTATATGTTAAAGAGGAATATCTTTAAAACTGTAGTTTAAATATTTATAGTTTTTGTTGGTTCCTTAGAGAATTGTCCCGGAAAAGTGAATTTGTAACCGAGTGTGCACAGAAGTACTTAGTGAAAGTTGATGATCGTGGACTGAGAGAAGGAAGAGTGAGGTGGAGTTTTGAGAATGAACAGTAGCTTGATTTCGCTTCCAGCAATGGCTAGGGGTCTGTGGCAGTGGTGGTGGTTTTCCTGTGTTAAAGGTGCTAATTAGAAGTCTTCATAATGGAATTCAGAAAGGTTGTTTCCTTTCCATGATTTAAGGTAACTGCTGAAGGAAATAGAAGAAATCCATCTGTAAATGCTAGTGTGGCTTTAGGAAGGACTGGGGACAGAAGCGTGACTAAGTGTGGGAATAGGACTTGTAGTGACTGAGAGAACAGACACTGCTTCTGGTCAGACTTCTAGATAGTTGGTATGTTAGTCGTTTCAGAAACCAGGACCCCTGTGCAGAATGATTGGGATTCCCATAGCCTCTGATTAAGAGGTGGCTTACTCTGCCTTCGAAACTCTCTGCGTGTTTCGCTCCCTCAAGTTGGGCAAATCATTTCAACTTTGTTTAAAAACGAGAATCGCCCTGGAGGATTTCTAAAGGGTTGCCAGGCTACAGTTCTTGATTTTGAGATGGCTAAGGCCAGATCTACGACCGGTCTTTCTCCGCAGATTATCTAGACCAGCTGTTCTGGACCTGTGGTCTGCTCTGCTTAGATTCAAGATGGAGCTCAGGGTAGTGCTTTCTGTCTGCTTCAGAAGTTTCTGCCTGCAGGTTGATAGAATGTACTTGTGACAGAGCAGACTGATTAAAAAGCAGAACACAAAATAACTTTGCCTGTGTCTGGTCTTTTCCCCCCTACTTTGTGCTTTTAGAACAGTGGTTAGATTTAGAATCTGCAATTAGAATAGTGCATAGGCACCAGACCCTGAATTCCTGTGACCAGGTGGTGTCCTTGAATCTTCTCTCCTTTATTGTCCTTGAAGTGTAGGGGGATCCTTATTTTAGCAGTTGAAAACTGCTTGTAGCCTCTCTTCATGGCAGTAGCCCGTTGTGGTCCTCAGCATCCTTGGTGCTGTGGAGTCTGGGACAATGATGCTATATAGCTAATGTTGACAGTATAGCCTGATGGTGAAGAGCCTGAGTTCTGGAATCAGACTTTCTGATTCAGATCCCGATTCCAACCCGTAATTGTTGACCATGGCTGTGTTTCTCAGTCACTCTAAGGCTTCAGCAAGTTGCTTACTTTATCTAAGCTTCGGTTTTCTCATTTGTAAACCTGGGATGAAAATCGTACAATTTCTGTGGTCTTTAAATGATTTAATGCGTGGGACGCACCTGCTGAAGTCCTTGGCGTATACTAAGTCCTACTGTTATTAAATTATTATGAATATAGTAAATTTCCTTATATTATTATGAATTTGAGCATTTTAGTTAGATTATTCGGCATGCCCTCCTTTTGCTTTGGCCGTTGAGAATTCACTGTATTTTATAGTCAACTATAAGCTATATTAAATAATTTCGTTCTTTCTTTTACAAGGATGTAATAATTAAAGTATATCAAAAGATAAACATCTTAGCAATCATTATATGATATGTATAAAAATATACAGTCCATGATTCATGAAATATGAACACCTGCACATCTTAGTCTTGCCTATTTACTATTTTAATTGCTAGTTAATACAATCCTGATTTCTCCCTTATTTCAGAGGAGCCACTTTGCTGTCTCAGATTTAATGCTTAGTAATATCCAGAGTTTACCTGGAACTCAGAAACTTCCCCTCCTAGTTGTGGCTAGGAGCTCATGCAAAGAAGAATCTGGCTGCGCCCTGAGTTGCCAGCCAGGTTGGGAGAGGGGGGTGGTTCCCAGGAGAGGGCATCCCTTGCTTGTACACGACAGTCTGGACACCTACAGACCAGAGTAGAAGTGGAACTTGATGAAAAATAAATGAATGTTTTTGTCTCTGATTTAAACCTCATATTTGCATTTTATGTTTCTTTTTTCCCTTCCGCCCTGAGACGAGAGAAGGCTGTTCTATATGAACAAACGTGTAATACAAACCTTATGAATACTGATGTTAAAAAAATGGACAAAGTATGAGATTTGACTTGACTTTTCAGAGTTTTCACGTTAAAGTTTCTTTACTACGCTTTTCTCATACTACTCTGGGAAGGTTCCTCATCTCTCTCGTTCTGAGTTTTCCATCCGTGATATGGAGATAGTACCACCACATATGTAGGCAGGTTGGATGTAAAGATTAAATCAGATAATGCATGTAAGACAGTTATTGTAGTGCCTGCTGTATAGTAAACACAGAACACATTTGTTTCTATAGTTATCTTTGTTATTAAATGCCTACGAATCACATTTAGAGGGACACAGTTTTAAAAAGTGAATAGCAGCCTGAATTATATGAGGATTAGAATTTGTACAAGGTGAATGCAAGCACCATGTACCTGTCTTCTTGACATTTTCTAATAATCCTTCACCTGCCAAGTGAATTATGTTACAGTTTAATGAAATGGCAGAACACAAGAGGAGCATTTGTGTATTCATTTTGTTAATACGTCATCCTAGTAGAGAATGTTCTCTTACTCCGTGACTTCCTTTGTCTCAGTTGATGGGAGGGATGAAAAAAGAGAAACTGGAAAAGATTGTTTTCCCTTGGTTACTAAGGGCACTCTTCTTTCAGGCTAAAAACAGATATAATTTTACTGATTTAGTGAATAGATTGAGTATGCGTAGACTATGTTTGGACCAGAGAAAAAGGAAAACGTATTTGAGTTTATCTGACGGTTGTCTCTGCTGCACGGAGAGACCAGTTAGCTCCTTTTATGTGAGAGTTCTCTGCCTTTGTTCCATATTTTCAGGAGCATTTATTATAGATCCATTTCGAGGGTTTTCTAAGAATTAATGAAGCAGTAGCAAGTAATTATAATGCTTCTGAAATAGCAATACACATTCATTTTGTGATAATCTATTTCACATTTTAATATTTAATTAAACTTGGTATTGATAACTTGTAAACCTTTTTGGGAGTGTTGGCTATGATTATCTAACATTCAAAATAAATGAGTTTTTCTGATATTAACTACCTCAAGTAAGCAAATATTTAAATTTGTATAATCAAAAAATAACAAGTACAGGTTATGTTTGGGATAAAAACTGTTTTATTTCTGAACACAGATAAGTTAATATTTGTTATTTTTCCCCATAGTATTTTGCATTAAATGGGAAACTTTAGTGATTCTAGAGTTGTAGGATTTCCAATGTCCAGCCTGGACCATGGTGTTGAATCCTAAAAGTAGCATTTTTTCAGAATAATTCATGCACAAGAAAAAATACAATGATATATTTTGGGAAAGCCAAAGGACAAGATGACACCATTGAATAGAAAGGTGAGATTTGCTTAAGAGAAATGGATATTTCCACTGTTCATCACCCTCAGAAGAGGTAAATCCTGAGATAGGTAGAGTTTTGACTGGTTTCAATGGCTGGGCCAAGATGTTAGACACACTCTTATCCTTTTCTTTGTAATTGTGTAACTCCAACTTTTACCAATTAACTTAAGAAGAAGTGTGTCCTAGGTTGGGTCCCAATTGAAGACTTTTCTATATCAACTCCAGTTAAGATATCTATTCATTTTCCTTCATTTAATAAATAGTTGGGCTTTGGGTACGGTGCTGGGTATACTGATATTTGAAAAGGATGCAGTCTCTGTGCCCTTGTGGAGCTTATAGCGTAGTGGGAGAATTTATGTTTTTGGCACACTGTTTGTCTTGCCATTTGTTGAAGGTGATTAAAAGAAACTGAAAGATTTGGTACTCAAGAGACCTGAGCGATCCCTTATTCTGGACTTTGAAAACTATGCTCTGTGTTTTCTTAGCTGCCATAAAGGGTGTGTCTACCAAACTGAGATGTGGAGAGGAGTGTTGCTCCTCCTCTTTCTCTGAACTGTAGCTGTGGTCAGATGAATGCCGTGTGCGATGCAGGGGATGCTAGACTGTGGGGCTCAGATCTCTGGTTTTGTCTCTGGGTCCCTGATCAATCTCTGGGAAAGTCAGCAGATCTCAACCCACCATGCATTTCATCCTTGGAAGAACAAAAGTACTGGGCCATTAGATGATCTCTTTCTCTTTTTTTTTTTTCCTCTTTTTTCTCCCCAAAGCCCCCTGGTACATAGTTGTACATTCTTAGTTATGGGTCCTTCTGGTTGTGGCATGTCGGATGCTGCCTCAGCATGGCTTGATGAGCGGTGCCATGCCTGCACCCAGGATCCAAACCGGCGAAACCCTGGGCTGCCACAGTGGAGTGCATGAACTTAACCACTCAGCCACAGGGCTGGCCCCAGATGATCTCTTAAGACCCACCTCATTGGGTTGTTTTGAGACTTAAACGAAATGATATTTGTAAAGTGTTCCACATAGTTTCTGACACCTAATGCTGATGATGACAAATACTTTTATAGCTCATATTATGTGCCATGTGCTAGTCTAGTCATTAAGTGTGTATTAGTTCATTTAATCACCCTGTGAGGAACATACTTTCATTATCTCCAATTTATAGGAAACTGAGGCACAGACAGGTTAGGTAACTTGCTCAAGATCACACGGCTGTAAGTGACACATAAGCCCTCCATAAATCAGAGTTGTAATTTAGGTTGACACTTCCTCAAAGTGGCATTTTGTTGTTGTTGTTGACATGCTACCTCATGATTTTCTCCGTCTTTCTCTCTAGGGGTCATAGAGACTTCAGATAGACTGGACCGGGAGTCTACCTCCCATTACTGGCTAACAGTTTATGCAACTGATCAGGGTGTGGTACCACTTTCATCATTTATTGAGGTCTACATCGAGGTTGAAGATGTCAACGACAACGCACCCCAGACCTCAGAGCCTGTTTATTATCCAGAAGTAATGGAAAATTCTCCCAAGGATGTGTCTGTGGTCCAAATTCAGGCGTTTGACCCAGATTCCAGCTCTAATGACAAGCTGACGTACAAAATTACAAGTGGAAATCCACAAGGGTTCTTTGCAATACATCCTAAAACAGGTATGTGTTAATATAATTATATGAAATATTCTTGCTTACGTTCTCCTGATATGGGGAAATTTAAGAATAATTTTCTTAGCCACTTTTCTTTAGTTTTTAATAAGTTGTTTTTCTTTTGAGTTATTCAAAACAAGCCTTTATTTCCAGATGAAAATTGAGTCCAAATGTTTTTTTCCTTTGCATTTGTTTTTATAAAGCTATTTTATCATTTTGCTCGTTAGTGTAGTTTCACATGCAGGTTGAAAAGCAAACATCTTTGTTTTGGTAATAGCTCCTAAATTAGCGATATATCTTAAACTTACTGCAAATTCTGCTGCTGCTAAGTATCCCAATTTTCTTAACTCTGCTTTTTGTGGAGAATATCAAAAGTGTTTATTTCACGATTCACGGTAGTTATTTTTATGTTGTTTTAGAATTTTTCCGTAGAGCAGTGCTGTCTCTCTGCAGGCAGTAGGGGACCAAGTTTTAACAACTTCCAAATTGGGAGCAGTTACTTTCTTGAACTGATATCTCAGGTTTTCCTTCTAGCTCTTTTCTCGTCTCAGTATCTGACCCTGCTTCTAAGCAGATAGCCGCTCGACTCCAAAGTCATCTTCCGAATTCCTTAGAAACTTCTAATCTTTGTCCTTTTACATTTGGCAGTGCATCTACTCTTTTCTCAGTTTTTCATTTGCTTTTGTATTATTTCGCAAAAACGGTGCAGCATAGCTGTCGTTTGTGTCGTGAAAAGTTAGCTGTCATTTATGCAATGAAAACTTCACACCTGGAGGGGTGCACTCTTCAATCTCTTGATGGAGTTAAAACAAGAACCACCGTATGACACTGAGACGACAGTTTATTTGTAGGAAAATAAAACTTCTTATCAAGGAGATCACTGGCCTTTGGACCCAGATGTTTCAGTGATTCAGTACTTTTCCATAGAATCTGATTATGAATTCTGAAGAGGGAGATTTACTATGATTTACATGCCTCGATCATGTCTTTGCTTATTAAGTCTTTCCTTATGCTGGGGGAGCTGGCCTGCTCAGTTCCTGGGTTGTCTATTTGATATGTCAAGGAAATATTACACAAAAATCAAAATTTAGGAGGTGTTCTCAGCTTCCTTACCAGTCTTTGTTATTCCTTTTTTTGTACCATTCTTATTTCATAATTCCCTTTGTTGCACTTAAAAGGAAGCTGCCTTTTTTTTTTTTTTTTTTTTGGTGAGGAAGATTCGCCCTGAACTAACATCCATTGCCAATCCTCTTCTTGTTTTTGCTTGAGGAAGATTAGCCTTGAACTAACATCTGTGCCAGTCTTCCTCTACTTTGAATGTAGGATGCCTCCACAGCGGGGCCGATGAGTGGAGTAGGTCCACACCTGGGATCTGAACCCACGAACTTGGGCCTCCAAAGTGGAGCATGCAGAACTGTAACCACTCGGCCATGGGGCCCCTTCCAAAAAAGAAGCAATTTTTAAGGTGGAAAGAAGCTTGAGTTCAATATCTGTGTCCCAAAATGCCCATAGAAAGACACCTGATAGAAATTGTGTGATGTAATATTTTGTCTCTTAAGAAGCATGTTAAAATGTTAGTTTTTAAACCACTCATCAGCATATTTCAACCTGGCATTCACAGAGATAGTCTTTCTTGATTGTTAAGAGTAAACATAACTTCAAGGTTTAATATGAATGTATTAGGATTTACTTTTGCCTTGAGATAATTATCCTGCCAGCTCTTTGGCCAAATTCCTGTATATTCCTCTGATAGAGAATAGGAGTGAGGTTTGGATTCTGAGGAAACCAGTCCTTGATCACAAATGTTTGAGCCCTATAAGAATTTAATTATGTAGGAGAGAAATGGGATCTGAGAGTTTTTTCTTTTGGAATCATTAGGAGGAGGGTGCAGGACCCTGAGCCCAAGACAGAAGGCTGGAATTAAGAGATTATACTACAACACGAAGATTTGAAGTAGCATCTGTAAATGATTAGTAAAAGGCTCTTTAAACAGTGTAGTTGTGTACTATTTTTACTGCATAAATGGTACCCCGGCTCAGCCTCATTTTTGTGAAAGAAAATGAAAGAGGGCTAAGAGCTAAAAAATTAGAAGGCACTCTCGAACATAAAAGAAGAAAGATTAGAAGTTGGTAAAAATTTTGGGGAAGAATTTTAGAGTCAAGAAACTATTTGCTTTGGAAGTGGGGTAGGGGTGCGGCCACAGACCTTGAGACACAGACAAGTCTAGAAGTTAAATCCTTGAGGTGGTAATTCAAGAACGTAACTGCCCCTTTTTCAAAAATTGCTTGTGGGATTAGACTTTAAATGTTTTCATTTTTCTAACGGCTTCTATCTCTCTCATAGATTAGGTTAAGTCCTCTGCAAAGAGACAGGCAAGCACGCGATAAATGTCCTTTTGAATATCTGAGTAAATACTACAGGTGTGAACATAAATGTGTATTTGAGGAGAAGAAGAAGAAAAAACTTAAGGAAATTATATAGATTAGAGCTATAGTGGGGAGCTTTGAAACCTTGGTTATCTCTGGGGCCTCTGAGATGACATCACTGCTATGGTGTTATGTCTTGAAAGGTGGTAATGTGGCATTGCCACTCCCTTTACGTCTCTCTGTTCTGACAGCTCTTAGGAAGAATGTCTGGGGAGACTTCTAAACTCTTCCTTATCTTCAGGGAGAATAAATGCCTTCCAGGAGTCCACAGCTAGCTTCCGAACCCCTGGGTGGGAAGTACATGCCTCCTGCTGGCAGGACAGCAGGAGAAAATTCATAAGGATTACGAAGAGGTTTTATTTTCTTATGAGTTGAAGGCAGGTCATAGTGGAGAATAACTGTAGTTAGTACACAAGAATATTTGTTGCAAAGTATATTATAAACTTTAGGGTTCATAAAAAAGCCTGATCGTTCCGCAAGTCACCTACCATCTCTAAAGATCAAGAAATAACCATATTTTAGCATGGGCATTATTAAAGAATATGGTAAATGCAGCTTCACGAGGTCTGTCTCTAGATGGTTCTGTTCCCACAACTCAGCAGAAAATTTGGGCACGATCCTCGGGGTCCAAAAAGTAATGCCTCAAAGTGTACATCTTCCTCAAAACTTTTCAAATAGACTATTGTTAATAAGTTAGGTCAGTATTATGGGGGCCAGACTGTGAAAGCTGATGAAAGACAGTCTGGGAGGAGGAAGTTCCCGTGATTTACTGACCCAAAACACCACCTGGAGACCCTAAATCATGTTACTTAATAATTAATGGCTGAGTGAGAAAAATCAATGGGCTGGAAATTAAGACATCTGGGCATGAGCGAGGCTTTTCCTCTAGGATCTTAGGGAAAAGTGGCTTCCAGGTCGGTCCATTTGATGGTTAGTGATGAGTGCTTTTGCACATCCGTTAAGGCATGTATTTGCAAAATACAGAGCCCCCAGAATCATTTATAGGAGATGCCACAGCCTCTCCCACTTGTGTATGTTACCTTTGCTCTATTAACTGTACATAAGATGATCAAGGTCTTAGTAGATTGATAAATGTGTGCATCTCCTTTGGATAAACACGTTTAATGAAGTCAGATTAGTCTCCTTGCTCCTCAGCGGTAAAGGTAAGTTTAGGACTCTGGTGATTCTCAAGATGTCCAGCAGACTAGAGCAAGACATTCGTTGTTATTCATTGTTTGTTTACGCATCAGGTGTTCACAGAGCTTGTGCTCTGTTTACAGCACGTTAAGAGATAATTTGAAAGTTTGTAGTCTGCATAAGTGAAATAGCAAAGAGAAACAGGTGGGTACCAGAGAGTGCGCCAAAGACTGTAGCAAACACCTCTGGAGGAATGGGAACAGAATGATGTGGTGGGTGTACTCAGGAGGACGAGAGCCCTTGGGAATGTTACTGGGCTGATTTTGACGGTAGTGAAAGTGGTTGGGTGGAGAAGAGGAAGGGGGTATTTATCACGTTGGGGGTCAATTTGAAGGCATGGTGAGAATTAGCAGCCAAGAGATGAAGTTAGATGAGTGTATGGGAGAATGACTATGCTTGATGGAAAACCTTAAATACCAGAATAAGGGTTAAAGGAGAATATTTGTTATTTTTATAAATAACCAGCTATTTTTGACAGTCTACATGCATTTCCTTGGAATATTTTGTATAAATGTAAATCAGATGACCTGAGTCATTTTGGAGAGGAGACCATCTCTACGGTACCTTTTTCTCCTCTTGTCATCATATGACAAAGTATTAAAAGAAAAAAAACCTTGCTAGGACTGGATTTGATAATCTGAATTTTGGGTTCTAAATGACAAGTTTGTGTGATCATTTTTTGAATGTTTTTTATCTTCCAGTCAAAGTTTCTGTGCTTGATTATGATGCCAGGAACTCTCTCTCTGCATCTCACGTGGTTCTTTTGATATTGTTTGTAAGTAGGGTGAGGAGCGTTCTTTTTCAGACTGTACAAGCAAAAGAGACTTAATCCTTTTTCCTTTTCTGATACACTTTTGTTGACACCAGAAATTTTTATAACATTTTTTTGTTAGATTATGTCCAGTATCAGCTGGGGTCAGTTTGCTTCTTTTAACATGAATTGTGCACTTGCTCAAGATGGGAGAGAGACAAGAGCACAGAATGTTCACTTGTCTGAGCCTTGACCGCCCCAGCTCCCGCAGACAAACTCATCACAGCTTTGTGGTATGTCAAGGACAGAGAAGACAGGGAGTCCCCAACAATAGGGACTAGTGTGCACTTCACAGGTTCCATTATCCACGAGTAACCTCAGGACACTGAAACCGCCCTAGCAAAGTGCCTTTTTAGTCCATGTTACCAGTTTGAACCTCTGAGGAGTGATATGCTACTTAGAATTGGCAGATAATCTTGAAGTCTTACTTTTAGGCCTGTGGATGCTTTAGACAAGACCAGTTTTAGTCTCTTATCTGTATGTTTGGTGTTTTCCAAGCTTTGGAAGCAAGTATTGCTTCCAAATACAAAGCAAGTGTTGCTCTTTAGTTTTAAAAAATGTGGTTGAAGTCT